TTTCATGATCTCATTAACGATAGCCAAATGGCGGCCTCTTTAAGGTCGAAAATGCATTGAAATCGCACATTTTCACCATTCCGAACCCGGATCTCAGTTATACATGGACAGATTTTGTTCAAATTTGGTACATACATTAAACATAATAGGACCTTGATGCACGTCATTTTTTTGTCGGATCAAGTTCGAAATAGCCGACTGGCGGCCATTTTGTTTTAATAAATTCAGTTCTGGATCCGTATCCAAGACATGTCTGGATTGATCAAGTTCAAACTTCACACACACATGGTACATCATGTCACAAATAGATATGTGCATTTGTTTCATGATCCGCTTAACAATAGCTGACTGATGGCCATTTTAAGGCCAAAAATGCATCAAAATCACGTATTTTCACAATTCCGGAACCTGATCTCAGTCATGCATGGATGGATTTTGTTCAGATTTAGAACAATGTGTTGTACATATGCAGGTGCTTTTCGGTCATGATCTGCTTTGAATGTATATGTCACTCAAATATGAACGGAATGGGGACGTGTCATTGACAATGACTTGTTATACTAAAATATCTTGAATTACTTTGAATAAATCTGGAAATTATGTCCCTTAAAATAATTAAACAAATTAGACACCAATGTTTTTGTAAGATATTTACATCTATCAAGGACATTCGATAGACTGATTCCCCACTGGTTCAACCCCAAAACTTGTTTGTATTAAAAATTAAATATGACAATGCATATTTATATTGAAACAAACTATGATAAAGGGAATTATATTATATAACAAAGGGCAAGGTCACCAGAGTTCAACTATGTTTGATTTTGTTCCCATCAGACAAAGTCCAAAATGGGTTTGTCTTTCCATCCATTCATTATCATTTCTGAACTGATTTTGTTCACAGTTTGAATGGTAAATTAAACTTGCTTCCCCTAAAGACAAAATCTTCAATTTTCTATATCTGGCTCTGCGTTGTTTTTGACTCCCATGTGCGAAGGACACAATGGGAGTCTTTGCAGTTAGTGCGTCTGTATGTGTCTGTTCCACTGATATCTCAAGAACCATATATTGGTTCGTGATGAAACTTGATGCATATGTATATGCTTTTGGTTGAAATCCATGCTTATAAATTACTAATTTGCATGATAATTAGCTAAAATCATTGCATTTAACTTGAGTCTTTATCATATCATACATGCATCAGCATGTATTCCACAATAAAATATTGTTATAACTTATCATTATTTTTTGTATTGTGTTATAGTACCAACCCTTTCCACTCTTCAATGGTGATGGTGCCCATGGTAATTCAGACGATTTTCCTCGGGTAAATGGAACATCCCAAAGTCGGCTGGGAACAGAATACTTTTGAAAGATGTACTCGACACTCAGAGGGTGATTTTTTCCCCATATTGTGTGTGATCTGACTTAACACTGCTTCTTTGTATAGAGCAAACTCCAGGAAATACGTTTGTTTTACACACTGCCCATAAACACTGCCATTTTTCTACCAATATACAATTTTTTTTTTATATTTACCAGTCTACATTACTGCCATTGTTGCCACAAATGTTGAACATAATTAATTTTATTTATTTTTTCATATTTTGTATTCTATGTTCTTACTGTGGTACCAAAAAAAGTAGGTGCATGTTAATATATCGTGTCAGATTGCATATATTCTCGGGCGGAGCTACGTCACAGAACATTCTATGATTGGCACCACTGTACCATGTATTTCTAAGGGTTCTGTGCAAGCTGCTGTGGAATGCCGATCAAAGAACCATTGAAAACAACAGTACAATCTCAATCTTGAAGCAATCCTGAGCAACCAAATTATTATATGTTGCATACACAGGGGTAATCTTGTTACGCTGTTCAGGAGATTCTCAAAAACTATCCCAAAGTACAGTTTTCTGAGAGTTTTCAACCTTAGTTTTCACCATGATGGTTGCCAGATGAACAATAGCACTGGATTACTGTTGGTATAGTTACATTTTGAGCTGTCTAGGTGTTTGTATATGCATAGCTTGCCAGTGTGCATTCATTCGATGTCACAAAGGTATATTGGTATAGTTGTTGAGAATCTCCTGAAAACGTGTGCAATATGTATAAATTTGGTTGCTCAGGATTACTTTAAGACTGAGATTGTTTTCTCTATTTTTACTTAGCTATTTTAAACAGCTCTTTGACTGACATT